AGAGCATGACATACTCAACATCATAACCAAGAAGATCTGCAAAGTGGCTGACCAATGAGGATTTGCCACATCCCTGGTGATGATGATGATGACGATAATGATGACGATGTTGATGATGATGATCATAATCATGGTGACGTCGATGTTGATAGGATGATGATAGGAACAATGATGGTAATGATGTTTATTATTATTATTATTATTATTAATATTATCATTATTATCATTATCATTATTATTATTATTATTATTGTTATTATTATTATTATTATTATTGTTGTTATTATTATTATTATTATTATTATTATTATTATTATTATTATTATTATTATTACGACAGGCCGATGATGAATCCATGATGTTGATGACTGAGTGATGAAGGTTGATGGTGAATGATGAAAATGTTCAACCAGCCAATGACCGACCAATCAATTATTATCCAGACAACCCAACCAATCAAAAATCATTCAATCCATTTGCTAGCCAATCAATCAGTTAATCAATTAAATAATAAATCAACTGAAAATTTGGGTGACTGACAAACCAACCAACTAAACAACTAACAAATTAATGAATCAACCAATTGATAAACCAACCAACCAAACAACTAACAAATTAATGAATCAACCAATTGACAAACCAACCAACTAAACACTAACCAATAAACAAATCAACCAGCCAACAAACTAAAAAAACTAATCAAACAACTCAAAAACAATTCAATGGTGCCTCTGAAGATAACTCAATAGAGGCGCTCTACAAATCTAAAATACAATGCAGACAACAGAAAGTAAACCCAATCAAACACTAACAAATAACTAAATTAATACTAGATAACTTACCAACAACTAACAACAAACTAATCAACTAACCAACCAAACAACTAGCAACAAACCAATCAACTAACCAATCAATCAACTAGCAACAAACCAATCAACTAACCAACCAAACAACTAGCAACAAACCAATCAACTAACCAATCAATCAACTAGCAACAAACCAATCAACTAACCAACCAAACAACTAGCAACAAACCAATCAACTAACCAATCAATCAACTAACAACAAACCAATCAACAAACCAATCAAAAAACTAACAACAAACCAATCAACTAACCAATCAAACAACTAGCAAAAAACGAATCAACAAACCAATCAAACCACTAACAACAAACGAATCAACTAACCAATCAAACAACTAGCAACAAACGAATCAACTAACCAATAAAAAAAAATAGCAACAAACGAATCAACAAACCAATCAAACAACTAACAACAAACCAATCAACTAACCAATCTAACAACTAACAAAGAACAAACCAGCCAGCCGGCCAGCAAAACAATCAACAAACCCTCGGTCCCACCAAGCAGAAGTCCTTGACGATGTGAGAGACCATCATGTCGCATAACTGCTCCTCTTGCAGAAGAGTCGGCACGAACGATGACGACGACGATGGTGGTGGTGGTGGTGGTGGTGGTGGTGGTGGTGGTGGTGGTGGTGATGGTGGTGGTGATGGTGGTGGCAACGCTGATGATGACGATATCAGTTCGCCACATGGAACCTTGTTTTTCAAACAATTTATTACGAGGAATATGTACATAATATAATAAAAAATATTTAACATCACTCATAAGAAAACAAATAATAACAACAAAACACGAAGAACAATAAAAAACAAAAATAACTCGATGATGAAGATAATGATGATAAATAAAAATCAATAAATCAGTCAATCAACCACTTCCTGTAATTTATATAGCGCAATAAATATTCTTAATGTCTGCCGATGATTCCCAAATCTGACGAGCTAAATACCTAGGGTTATATGCAAATAAACGCAAGTACAGCGTGCGACAATCGCGCACGTCCGCAATCGAACCCGGTTACTGCATTTTAGAATCCAGAACTCAAACAACACAGCTATCACATCGATTGAATAACAAAAATCATAATAACAGTAACGCCGGTGGTAACGCTAGGGGTCTCGTGGCCGAGTGGTTAGCGTGTCTGTCTACCACTTCCACGACCCGGGTTCGAATTCTGCAGTTTCTACAGGTTCATCCGGGTAGCCGACTCCCGGTCAACCCAGCCGTCCATCCTTTCGGGGTTGGTTAATGGGTAGACGACGTAAGTTGTCGCATGCTGGCCGGCGAGATGGCTCAGTGAGTCAAACATCTCAATGGCTATCATATACTCAGCGTATATGATGCGGTGCTTGCGCGTGCACATAAATCCATGTGTACGTCGTGTGAAAAGGATAAACAAACAGCCTTTGTGGCAAAAGATGGCTACTTCATATCATTGGTTGAAGATATGAAGAACATAATAAAGATATATAGATGATATATCAGTAACATTGTAAGTGGTTCTGCGTATGTCAGAGCTGCAATAATAAAGACTAATAAAAAAAAAAAAAAAAAAAAAGAAATTCCGACAACAGCAAAACAATAATAATAACAATAATAATAACAATAATAATAACAATAATAATAACAATAATAATAACAATAATAATAAAAATGATAAAAATAATAAAAATAATAATAAAATAAAATGACCGACAAACAAATTATTGTAAGTAAAAAATTATTAATTAATTAATTAATTAATTAATTAATTACCTCAACGGAGACACCATGTGAAACAAGTTTCATATAAACTTTGACCCGACCTAGATTGCAGTTACTTGATTGGATGGTTTCTACTTTCGATGAACCCAACTTTTCTGCGTCAGTTTTAAACTCGAAAGACTGTAATGATTGCAAATAGATCAGGTGAGAATAATTAGGACAACATGTGAGGCTCGTAGACTTGCATCTACGTACATTTAAGAGAGGAATAAAATGTGGATTATTAAAAGTAATAAATAAAAAAATTTATGAACAAAATAAACAAAATAAAGATATAACGAAAACACATAAAATAGACCTTTTGTCACGTGCAAAGAACATCTAGGAACTAAAGTGGCAACGAATAGCGTTTAGTTTACTTTACTTTACAGTGATTTGGTTTGTTTGAATAACTAAATAATTTACCGCTAGAAGAAACCAGATTGATGGCTGAGACTGTCAATAATGATTTTGTGTCGGCGTGATTAAAAGAGCCAAACATCATTAACGAATATTCTGAGAAATAGCCGAAAGACAACCCGTTTGACGAACTGACGATGAATGATGGGTTAGGACGATATCGAAAGATGATTTCACAATTAACAATCAACAGTGAGTGGGTGTGCCACGGGGCAGATAGACTCCCCCTCCGCACTCTGTCGAACGTCTATCTTGATCGCCTGGACTCAACTCCGAACAATAAAAGTGAAAACAACAAAACAGCAAAACAGAACATTAGCTCAGTCGCAGCTGCTTACAAGTAGCTAATGACGGTGGCAAAATCTCGCAGCTCACTTCATTAAACTTAATGACAAAATGTAACAATCGCAAGTCTTATATTCTACCTAAAATGCACAAAAAGAAAACAAAATGGCGTGATGATATCAGAAATCAAATCAACAGTTCGATATGCAAATGAGGATGAATCTTCAACATTCACGGTTCAGTAAGTTCGATACTAATATTGCTAATCAACAATACACTACAAAATGGTTTTTAACATTAATTAATATTATGCTACAAAACGGTTTTTAACATTACTAATTAATATTAGCCTACCAAACGGTTCTTAACATTACTAATTAATATTATAGTGCGGTCGGTTAATGTCTTCACATAATATAAATATTTCACTTCCGGACCCCAAGATATCCTTTGGTATATAGATTAATTATGTTATATAATGTTAAAAAAAAGCGGGACACAAGTTATTTGAACATTGTAAATTGTTTATTTCAACCGCAAAAAATCACCGATTTAAGTAACTGAGTAGTAACATTCATTATCTTCGATTTGCAAATTGTAACCGTTGTTTCCATGGTTACGAAGTTATTGACACTTTGTATTCGCCGAAAAATTTTCAATTTCGCAAACAAACTTTTTAAATTCGTTGACAAATTTAATTATTACTTAAAAATATCAAAAATTAAAATATTATAAATAAAAATATTGTGAAAATTCGAGCTGAAGTAAATGAAATTAACATGAAAATAAAGTAAATGTGTGCTTCAATCTGTTTACTTTACTACAGACTTACATTGTCACTGCTAAGCATTTTGTCTTTAATTTTTTAGTTTTTTACGAGTAAATTGATAACAAACTGAACATAAAAATTAAAAAAAATCTGAGTTTTTATGTAAGTCGGTAATTTTTTTAAAACAATTTATTTATTACTAATATTTATTTAATAATGATAACTATTATTATTGACTTAACTATTATAAACAATTAGCAACAACTGTAAAAACTAACAACATTACTTACCTTGTAATAAATATTTAATAATGATATTATTAGTTAACTACACGAAAAAAGGTTGTCACACCTAACTACTTTTATGCTAATTTCATTTGCATAGTTGCTTTTCAGCTCTTATTTTGTTAAAACTTTAATTATAATTTAACTAGAAGACAAGTTT